ATAAATTTTTAACTAGGAAAGATGAAAAGAAAGGCTTTTTAAGTACACTATATTATGATCAAGGTTATAATACAAGAGCAAGAAATAACACTCATATGCACCGAGTGATAGGGCACCAAGATACATAAGCCAATTAATGACAGAACTAAAGAGAGATATTAGTAATAATGCTGGGGGGCATACCTGGTGGCCTAGGGGTTAAGTCTCAGCACTATTATCTCTGTGCACTGAGTTCGATCCCCTCCCTGGCCAGGAAGGTGACCCACATGGAGCAGCAAACCTCTCTTTCTCTCCCTCTGCTCCCCTCAGCAGTATATTTCAGTAAATCTACCTATTCTGCTCCCCATTCTGTCTCTGGTGGATCCTCTTACCCCCCACACCTCTGGCCTATACCCCAGATCTTCTATGCAAAAATAAATAAAATTTAAAAAATATAAAATGCTAGTGGGCTTTAGTATCCCATTTATAGTAATCGATAGATCAACAAGACAAATTATATGTCAGGGAAGCTTTAACTGAGGAGTCAGACCAAATAGGTCTAAGGGACAGAACACTTTACCCCAAAATATTTGGCTGCATACATATTTTTTTTCAAGTACACAAACATGGAACAATTTCAAAAATATATATTAGGACACAAGTCAATTGTCCATAAAACCCACAAAGATTGAAATTTAACCTTGTACCTTCTCTGAACAATAGACTAGAAGTCAACTATAAGAAAACATGAAAAGTTATGAATATGTGAAGATGGAACAACATGCTGCTTAATAAGCAATTGGATAAAAGAGAAGATCAAAGCAGAAATTTTAAAATACTGATACTATGAGACAAATTAAAATGGTGACACAAATTACCAGAATTTATAGGACATAGCAAAAGTGTCTTAGGGGGAAGATAATTGTGTTATAACCCATATTAAAAACAATACTAATAAACAATATAATTGCACAGTTAAAGCAACTTGAGAAAGAGGAACAAATAAGACTCCAAGTAAAAGGAAGGGAATAATAAAAATAAAAGTGGTCATAAATGACATAGAGATAAAAAAGACTATATAAAAAATCAATGACACTAAGAGCTGACTTTTCAAGAAAATAAGCAAGATAGATAAAACTCTAGCTGGGCTAACAGAAAAGATAACATAGAAATACGAAAGATCATTAAGAGATTAGTATGAACAATTTTCCACCAATAAACCTGATAATCTTGAAGAAATGGGTAAATTTCTAGATCAATATAATGTCAGTACTAATCCAGGAAGAAACAGAACTGAACAAACTGATCACAAACATGGAAACCAAAACAGTGATCAAAAATTATCTGAAAAACAAAAGCCCAGCAACAGATGGCTTTACAAATGAATTCTATCAAACCTTTAAAGAACTAATGCCCATCTTGCTCAAGTTGTTTTTAAAATGCTCCCCAATACATCTTACCATGTCAATATTACCCTAATATTGAAGCCAGGAGAAGACAGCACAAGAAAAGAAAATTATAGACCAAAGTCCCTGATGAATATCTATGCAAAAATCTTCAGTAAAATACTAGCAAATCTAACTCAACAGCACTTCATAAGGATCATACACCATAATCAAGTGGGAGTTACCACAGGGGCTACAAGGATAATATACACAGACAGTTAATGTAACACATCTGCAGGGTAAATGGTTTTCAGGCTTTTCTGCCCTCCCACCATTAGGATTGCCCTGCCTGATGGGGCATCTGCAGTTGTTACATTGTTGTAAGTTGTGTTGTTTACTTCTGTGGCCATGGCTGCAGTATTGAGATAGTCACCAAGAGAAGCAGAAGCTGGAAAGAGAACAGGAGAGAAAGGAGAAAGAAGCCAGAGAAGCCCAGAGTGAAGCCTTGCTGGAGGCTTGGAGGCCTACCAGCCTCCTGGCCTCCTGGCACCCCTGCCTGCCATGTACCTGGTTGTTGCACTACATGTAAAAGCTCAATAAAGGCCTGAAAAAGCCACTGAGGGCTCCAGGGCTCATCCTTTATCCTTCTGGTCTGCTCGAATCATAGATAGCCTGCTCAGTGATTATCCTGCCCCTACAACATCATATGAACATAAGTAAAGATAAATATGCATGTGATAATATCAATGGATGCATTTGCTAAGATTCAGCACCCCATTTATGACAAAAACTCTGAATAAGATGGAAATAACAGGACCTACCTCAATATAACAAAAACCATATATCACAAGTCAATATCAAATAAAATACTCAATGGTGAACAACTGAAAGATTTCCTCCTAAGTCAGAGACCAAGACAAGGATGCCTAAGACAAGGATGTTTAACTTAGCAATGGAGGTTTTGGCCAGAGCTATCAGACAAACATGGGAAGTAAAGAGAATCTACGTAGGAAAAGAAGGAGTGAAACTATTGCTATTTGCAGTTGATAGAAGATCCTAAATACTTCATCATCAAAAAGTTATTAGAAAAAATAAATGAATACGGCAAAGGGGTAGGCTACAATATCAACATACAAAGAATATATATATTATATATATATATATACAGACAACACAGGAGCAAAAGAAATTTTAAAAATTACTTCAATTATGATTTCTTCAAAAAGAATTAAATACCTAGAATCAACTTAACGAGGGACGTAAGAGACCTATATAATGAAAACTGTGAGATGTTGCTGAGGGACTTAGTGACATAGGAGAAGAAAGATTCCATGCACATGGATGGGGAGAATCAATGTAATAAAAATGACTATCCTGCTTAAAATGATAAGCAAATTTAATGCAATCTTCATCAGAACACCAGTAATATTTTTCAAAGAAACTGAACAATAAAATAGTGAATTTTAGATGAAGCCACCAAAAGCCTTGAATTGCAAAAGCAATCCTGAGAAAGAAGGAGAGAAACAAAGTTACCAAATTATCTGACTCAAAACTTTAAGCAACAGTACTAAAAGTGATATGGTACTGGCACAAAACTAGATACATGGATCAATGGAACAGAATCAAAAGTCCAGAAACAAGTCCCTGTACATACCAGCATCTAATCTACGATAAAGCAGCTAGAACCATAAAATGAGACCTTCTCTACGAAATGGTGTTGAAAAGTAAGAAAGCCACATAATAGGAAGAAATTGTATTACTAACCTCATACACAAAATAAACTCCAAATGGATTAAAGATTTAGATTAAAAACCTGCAATACTAAAATACATAGAAGAAAACATTGATATTAATAATAAAGATATTTTTGGTGACTCAACCCCATGGCAAAAGAATCAAAACAAAAATAAACAATCGGGATTACCTCAAGTTAAAAAGCTTCTATACAGGAAAAGAAAATACAAGATGATTTTTAAAATACCTTATTGAATGGGAGAAAATATTTTCACATTATGTAACTTATAAGGGATTATATAAAAAATCTCTTATAATTCTACAATAACAAAAAAATAAAACCAGTTAACAAATGAGCAGTAGATATGAGCAGTTTACCAAAGAGGATATCCAGACGGCCAAAAGACAAATGAGAAAGTGTTCACCATCACTTCTAATAAGAGAGATGCAGATTAAAACTACAATAAGTAATGCTTTCCACCAGTAAGATGTCACCTATTAAAAAGCCCTCCAGGGCCTCCCCGGTGGTGCAGCAGTTGAGCGCTGGGTTACGAAGCTTCCCGCAGCCTCTGCAGCCTCTGCAGCCTCTGCAGCCTCTGCAGCCTCTGCAGCCCCTGTTCGATCCCCGGCCACCACCGGGTGAGGGTCCCACATGGTGCGCAGACCTCTCCTGCCACCCGCTGCTCCCCTCAGTAGTATATTTCGTCACTCTGCCTGCTCTGATCTCCCCTCTGGCTTTGGTGAATTCTCTCACCCTCCCGCGCTTCTGACTGTACCCAGTGCTTGTATACATAAATAAATAAATCTTAAAAAAAAAAAAAAGAAAGAAATGATTACTCAAACTATCACTTTAAATAAGCCCTCCAACAACTAGTGTTGGACAGGATGCAGAGAAATAGAAACCCTATTTTACTGTTGAATGTAAACTGGTACAACAACCACATGGAAAGCAATCCTGCTGTACCTTTAAAACTAAAAATGGAAATACTGTGTGACCCAATAATGCTGTGCTTGGATACATAGTCACAGATATGAACCATCAACACAAAACCTGTTATGTTCCACAATGTTCACAGCATTATTTACCATAGCAAGGACAGCCTAAATGTCCATCAATGGACAATTGGATCGAAGAAGTGGTGTATCCACACCATGGGATATAACAGCCATAAGAAAGGATGAAATGCAGCTATTTTCAACAAAATGGAGGAACGTCACCAGGATGACATTGTGGTACATAAGTGGTACTTACGTGGGATGTACCTGTGGTACATAAGTGACAACCTCAAACTTACATAAATCATCTGGTCTTGATCGTTTCTGAATACGCAAACCCTATCTGGTTCCTCTACTGGTTATTGGATTTAAAACCAAATAATCCTGGGCATAATTCAATGGAACACACCTCAAGTGTGTTCTCTTCAGCATGGTCCAGTCCCAACCTCTGCATAAGCCAGACATGTCCCACACTTCATATGAGGGATGATTAGTCAGTGTCCCTAGGTCCCTTGGGGCCTGTTGCGTGGCAAAGATAGCTTTTCCCTGTGGCTCTCTGGATCCATAAAATAAATCTGATAATACTCAAGAGTAGGCAAGGACAAAGATGTTCAGTATATGGGGTCATTCTGGGCAGTCAACCTGTGTTAAATCTTGGTCTGTCATTAACTGGTGGTGTCATTTTGGGCTGAACACTTACCCTCTTTTGTGAATCCATTTCTTCTTGTTTAAGAGAAGGTCATCATAGTTATCAGCTCATAAGATTAACATAGTTAATATCTGGGAAATATGTGTTCCTGGCACCCAGGAATTGCTGTATCAGGGTTGACTGTTGTCATTGTTTATTACATTTTTGATATAAAAAGATCTGGTTATAAAGAAAAATAATGTTTTTTCTTTTTGCAGCAAAAATTATGTTATTCCTTTGCAATGCAGCTGTCCTGTAGATTTTGAATTTCATATCACTTTGATTCAGTCTCATCAAGCCTTTACTGTTGAACCAGCATCAGGTAAGGAGAATCAGTATTTCAAGTTCCCAATTTCCTTAGGGTTCTTAGATTAAAAAGATTTTGAGAGTAGTTCTCAAGTTTAAGGGAGAATAAATCACACTTGAACATGTCATTTTCAAATGCATGTCTGTGACAAATTTGATATATCTGACATAACATAAATTGGAATTGGGAATAGGACACTGTAATAATTTGTATCATGCAGATAATTTATAATAATGTCAAGGTAACTTTCTTCCAAAGTCCAAACTTGAAATCAGAAGTTAATCCATCCTAATTCTAATTTTGGTTCTTGGTGACACATGCTTGGTTTGGTGTTCACCTTTTAATTCAATATCAAACAAAATTGGAATAGTATTTCTTTCCAAGTCTTCTGAGTCTTAATGAAGGGTCTCAGAAATTCACCGCGTGGACAATCTGTCTGTATATTTCCCAAAGGACCTAGATGCCGATGCAGCTCAGAAAATTTGAAGGTGAAATCATCACCAGAGTGATTTCTGCTTCCCACTGTCTGGTTCTTGATGTTTAGGTTGGAATTTAAGTATCTATCCACAGTGGTTTGCTGTGAATGCTAAAAAATAGGAGGGGTTTCTTTTGACTTTTTGATGTATAATTGACATATAAATTAAAACATATTTAAAGTGTAAAGTATAATGATTTGAAATCTGCACGCATTGTGAAAGACTTCCCCCACTGAATGAACTGACACATCCAATACCTCTCATAGTTATTTTTGTTGTTGTTGTTGTTGTTGAGAACATTTAGGTTTGCTCTATTAGCAGATTTTGATTACGCAATACAATGTAATCAACTATAGTACTGTGTTTACATCAGCATTTTAGGCCTTGTTCATCTTACAGGTGAATGTTTGTACTCTTTTAGCAACTCTCCATTTCCCCAGCTTCTGACAACCATGCAGTATTTGTCTTTCTCTGACTGGTGTATTCCAATTATAATCCCCTGCAGGTCATACATCTTGTTGAAATGGCAGTATTTCCTTCTTTTAAAAGGCCAAATAATAATTCATTGTAGACAGCCTTGCATTGCGTAACAGTGTTTAAGTCAATGACTGACCACATACACAACAGGCTATACCATATAGTCTAGGCTTGTGTGATTATACTCTCTGATGCTGGCACAACGTCAAAATCACCTAACAGTGCATTTCTTGGAACATATCCCTGTCATTAAGCACATTTCCTTTATCCATGAATCTATTTACATTAGGTGGTTTCCATACCATGGCTATTAAATAATACTGTAGTGAACATGAAAATATCTCTTTAAGATAATGACTTCATTTCTTTTTGATATATTCCCAAAAGTGGGATTATTGGTTCATATGGTAAGTCTATGTTTTGTTTTGAGAACCTTGTCTGTTTTTCAATTTATATTTATATTTATATTTATAATATATTTATATTATATTTCAATTCAATTTATATTTCCACCAACTGTGGAAGCAAGGGTTCCTTTTTCTCCACATCCTCACTATCACTTGTTCTCTCATCTTTTCGATAGTAGATATCCTAATAGGCGTAGGATGATATCTTACTGTGGTTTTGATTTACATTCCCTGATGATCAGTTTGAACACATTTTTTATGTTCCCATTGGCCATTTGTATGTCTTCTTTCAGAAAAAAAGTCTATTCAGATCTTTTGTCCAATTTCTTTTTTTGTTGCTTTTTGTTTTGTTGCTATTAAGTTTTATGAGATTCTTGTATAACTTGAATATTAATACTTTACTGAATATGTGGCTTGCAAATATTTTCTCCCACTCCATAGGTGGCCTTTTGTTGATTTTGTTGATGGCTTTGCTGTCAGAAGCATAGTTTGATGTAATCCCACGTGCTTATTTTTGCTTTTGTCACCTCTAATTTTGGTGTCAAATAAAAATTATTGCCAAGACAGGGTTAAAGAGCTTTTTCCCTGTTTTCTTGTAGGAGTTTTATGGTTTCAGTCTCATGTTCTCGTATTTAATCCATGTTGAACTGGTTTTTGTGTATAGTGTAAAATAGTGGTTTAATTTCATTCTTTTCCATGTGACTATTCAGTTTCCCCAGAATCATTTATTGAAGAGACTATTCCTTCTCATTGTTTATTCTTGGCTCTTTCATTGTAAAGTAATTGGCTATATATGTATGGATTTATTTCTGGGCACTTTTTTTGTGTTCAATTGGTCATTATGTCTGTTTTTCTCCCAATATCATCCCGTTTCAATTGTTGTAGCTTTCCGATATAATTAGAAACCAGAAAGTGTGGGCATCCATGGTGGCCTCAGGGTTAAGTCTCAGCATTATCACCACAACAGCCTAAGTTTGCTCCCTGGCCAGGGAGTTAACCCACTTATGATACAGCAGACCTCTCGTGCCTCACCGGCTGCTCCCTTCAGCAGTGTATTTCAGTAAATCTGCCTGCTCTGCTCCCCATTCTATCTCTGGTGAATCCCCTAACCCACCACATCTCTTCTACTCAAAAATAATTAAATATTTTTTTTTAAAAAAAGGAAGAAACCAGAAAGTGTGAAGTATATAGTTTGGGTAGGGCTCAGAAACAGAAAAAGGCATTGTAGTCAAGCTTGTTGTTGCCATAATGAGAAGCATTGTGGTGTAGAAAGGAATGGACTTGTGCTTTGTGTTTCCAAAGGTTAGAATTAGAACTACTTAATTGTCAGAGACACCCAAAGATGAATTTGATGCTTACTGAATAGCTAGTCTACTATGGATAAAAGTGGGAATGCTGTAGAAGGGAGTCAATGTCAGACGGCTTACTCTGGGTTAGTGCCACAAAGTTTTGAACCCTTGTGAAAACTATAATGCCCAGGCACCCATCCCTGGTAAGCTGGGTTGAGTAACTCTGGGGAAAGTATGGTTTTCTATATGGGAACAAGCACCTCTAGGTGATTCCATATGGGCATTCCTGAGAGTGATGCTTGGGAATTACTAGATTAATTTTAGCCGTAAGATCTTGCCCCACCTGATGGTCTATAGTTCTATTAGATTCCACAGGCAGAAGGATTTTGAACAGTCATCTTGGGATCTGTTTATCAGGAAAGTCAGCATAGCTGCCAAGTGCCTGAGGTGGGTTCAGGCAGAGTAGAAAATCACTGTTTTGGGGATGAAATAACATAGGTCTTGATAATTTCACCTCAAGTTACTTAATTCAGCAGCACAGAAAAAGAAGGGACAATTTGGAAGAAAACTAGAGATTCTTGTGAGCAAATCCTACTTCTCTAAAAAACTGTGTCCTATGACACAGAATATTAATTTACCAAAAAGATTTTGAAACACAGTTTATTCAAAACTTGAGAATTGTGTACATAAGTAAGTACAGTTTTGAACATAAATGAAAGATAGCTATATGAAAAACTTTTTAAAATTAAAAATTTAAATTTTAAAATTTAAAATTTAAATTTAAAAATTGTTCAAGCCTTTCCACAAGCACTCAGATAATAAATTTCATAGTTACATAATTCTGACAAATAGGACATTCAGAAGCTTCTTTGTCTAATCCTACTAATGGACTTTTCTGGTTGTTCTGGTGCTTTGGTTATGGCTTATCTTTTGAATTCGGTCTTTATTTTTTTATGATTACTATTTTTTTATGTCTTCACTTAAATATTTATTTTTTATATTAATTTTTTTTTACTTTTTTACATCATTGTTCCTTTTTAAACAATATTTGCTTCCCCACACCCCCTCAGATGTAGTCCCCATAGAGTTTCCTTCCCCAAGGCACCCGTGCACCATCACCTCAGTCCCCTGTGCTCCTTCCTCCCTCCCTCTGATCCCTCTCCCACCTCCTCCCCTGCAGTATGCCTCTGACTTATAATTATCCATTTTTGCTTTGTCGTGTTTTGTACTGTTATTTTTTGACACTGATGAAACTAGACCACTACCTTTCACCGTGCACAAAATAGATAAAAGAACTGGACATAAGACCTGAAACCATAAAATATATAGAATAAAATATTGGTAAAACACTACAAGACATACATCACAATAACATCTTTAAAGATTCATCACCCAAAGCAAAGAAAGTCAAGGAAAAGATAAACACCTGGGATTACATCTAACTGAAAAATTTCTGCACAGCAAAAGAGACATTAACCAAAACAGAGAGACACTCTACTGATTGGGAAAAAAATCTTTGCACTCCATCCAACTGATAAGGGACTGATCACAAAGATATACAAAGAACTCACACGGCTCAACAAAAACAAAGTAAACAATCCAGTCAAGAAATGGGCAGAAGAACTTAAAAGATATTTCTCTAAAGAGGAAATGCAAATGACCAACAGGTATATGAAAAAATGTTCAACATCTCTTATAATCAGGGAAATGCAAATTAAAACCACATTGAGGGCCTCCCCGGTGGCGCAGTGGTTGAGCGCTGGGTTGCGAAGCTGCCCGCAGCCCTCTGCAGCGCCGGTTCAATCCCCGGCCACTGGCCGAGGGTCCCACATGGCACGCAGACCTCTCCTGCCGCCTGCTGCTCCCCTCAGCAGTGTATTTCGTTGGTCTGACTGTTCTGTTCCCCTCTCTGGCTCTGGTGAATTCTCTCACCCTCCCGCGCTTCTGACTGTACCCCAGTGCTTGTATAAATAAATAAATAAATGTTAAAAAAAAAAAAACAAACACATTGAGATACCACCTTACATCAGTAAGAATTCTGTCTTTAAATGAAATTAAATTGAATATCCCAATGTGGAGTTAGGAGAAACATAAGAGCTAGGGACATAACTTTAGGGAAATAAAATCAATGCCTGTCACCAGGCATTGATGGATTTTACTTCCATGGGGATAGGGATAAGGACACCTCATAAGTGACTATAAATAGAGAAGAAAAGTGTATCCAGGGCACATACCAAGGGGGAGATTCAGAAGAATGTGATGCAAGAGAAGATGTGAGAGAATGGATGAATGAATGAGGGTAAGCCAGGACATCTTTGTGATTTTAAATGATCTGTGTTAAATGAATGGTGTTGCCAATGTGATCT